AAAAAGATATATAAAATGATCTTGTGGGCCGGATGTAATTGTACACCGGGCCGGATGTGGCCCGCGGGCCCTGAGTTTGACACATTGGATTTAAAGACTAGAAACTGTTAAAATATAGAAACACATTAGCAATGAAATTTTAAATATCATTTAATAGTTTTCACATATAATTTTTCTCTGTTTTGTGAAATTGTTTAAAGATGCTGGAGAGATTCCATACATCAAGGTTTTTAAAGTTACTGTACTTTTATTTTGAAGCTTCCTGTATTTCCATGCAGCACAGTGGTCTGCAGTTTGGCACTGAGGATCAGTGAAACAAGTGTTGTTGCTTTGCTTTCATACTGCTGGGCATCCCATCAGTACCCAGGTTAGAAGGGTGCTAACAAATGACCCTAGGCACTGACATAAGGATGCCTTGGAGCCATAGAGCTGACTGACTTCCACTATTTGCCTACCACCTCTGAAGCTGTAAGCCAACAACATGGCAAAAGCTCCTGCTATTGCTACTGATTAGCTTAAACAGTTTGTAACTATCACACAATATGTGATTAAACCTGAGTAAATCATGCCAAATGTTAGTATCTGCTCTCTGTTTTGACTGTTAGTGAGTTGTACCAAGAAATGTGTAAGTTCAACTACATGTGAAAAGGTAGCTGTAGGGCACATGCAAGAAAAAAAAAAAAACACCACACAAAAGACCTGAAAACAGGAGACTGACCTCTGGTGTACTCTGTCAGATCACATTTCTATAGACAATGTGCACCTTAAGAGATGATGATAATACTAAGGTCAAACCATCACACACCTCAGGGAAGGCTACTGTGTGCAAGAACACTTAAATGTGTGAGAGGAGAAAGCGAATGAGGCGAGAGGAAGGACTGAAAAATAACGCTACTTGTGTGGCGGGTGTGATGTGTATTGCTAAATGATTGTGTTTGTGCGATTCATATCTATATCTTCTGATAATATATATATAGATAGATGCTTTGTAGTGAACTGTATTTGATCTCTGCCATGTTTGACTGCAGCTCATATTCTCACTGAAAACTCTAACATCATCTGGTCCCAGTAGTTACAATGCTTTTCCCTTTCATTCACAGCAGCTGTAAACACTTGTCTGTCAACCGAGTTGTGACCTTTTCCTGCCATCTAATTAAATTTAATACATATCACAAAGCATCACATTTAATGATGTGCAATGTTTTTGTTTGGTCGTGCTGCCTCTAAACTCACTCATACATAAAAATAAGATCAAATGCAAACTTTGAATATATGAAACCTGTTGTAAGCATGAACAACATGATCAAACAAATCTCTGTAGAGGTAGCTGAAATGTGAACAGGCTTAAAAGTCATTATGATAACATTGAACAGACACATGGAAGTATGCAGTTCTATTTTAGCAATCACAGCTTTTGAGTGTTTAAAATCAGCAGGGAGAGGTGCCCAGCAGTACTGGCCCAGTTATCACAGATGACAGAGAACAGACGCGTGCACACACATGCATACAGAGGATGTTGTACATGGTATTGCAGATGCTCATAATTTACCATAATACAAATCCAAACATGTTTGAGCACTTCCTCTGTTAAGGCCAGTGCATAGTACATTAAGAGGTGTGCATCTGATTTACATTTGGTCACATATCTTTCCTAACTACATATTTAGTATTTGTTTCAGTTGTTTCAGTACTGGATGTAAAGGGCAAATGTAGAGCCTGCACTGTATACTGAATATGTAGTTTCACATTACAGATATTGTAAAATCCCACACAGGACACCCACATCGCTTGCTATAAAATATTATGCATATTAAGGAGCATGTTTGCTTTAGTGAAACATAGAGACAACATGTACTTGACCTGTGTGCACCAAACGTACCTAGAGGTTCATGTAGAGCTAAGAAAAGAGTAAGCAGCTAATTTGGAGCCAACACAGCACTGTCTGAAGTTTCACTGTAGCTGTGGTTACACATTCTATTTTTGATATGGCAACAGCAATGCTAGCTAGATATGTGCACAGTGAAGAGATTTTTGTCAGTCAATTGTAGAGGCACCAAACCCTGATATAGCCTCAGTGCTAACAACAATAAAGCACCAATGGCCTCTGTACATATCTGCAATCAACTTAGTTCTGTCAAATCTAATATTAAATCATACTGTATTAGTTACCTAATTCTTAAAGCCAGAGTCTGAAAAGTCACTACTGATCTCAGCAAATGACTCAACACAAGCCCTGGTCTTCAAAATCAAATGAATTTGTCTGTAAAGTATATAATTAATATTCAAATACTGCAACTGTCACATACTGCAAATTAACACTGCATTAAATATATATTCTTTTATCCTCACACATTTTTCTTTTAAATGAAAGTAGCTCCATTATACTGTGATGTTGCTTTAATCAAAATAACTGATTTGCTAATTTACTTTATGCTAACACTGTTAGCTTCTGGTTCCATTACCAGTACTTTACGTGTCTTAATAAATGGTGTAAATATGCTGTAACTAATTCTGCAATTTATACATCAACAACTATGCTAATTTTCAATGCTAGGAGGATAATTTAATTGGTTCAGGAAACCTTGCTATATAACATTACCAAAATATATATTACATTTGTTAGCCAAGCATCCCAGGTCAAAGAAATCTCAAACTCAGTGTGTAATAAAGCAGATTACTGAATCTATACTGAGAGGATATTTCCTTCCTTGCTTTCTAAGCCCTAAACAGCATGCAAAATGTTGAATAGTAATAATAATAATAATGATGAATTTTTATGAAAAAGAATAATTGAAATCACAAATTTTTGATTATAAAGTTGAATTTCTTTTAAATATTTCCACTGCAGAATGTACACGCAATATCACTTGTCACTTATTAACCTTTGTGTGGCGTCAAGGCTGACAAGAACATGTAGATTTTCTCATTGCAGAGCAAGGGAAAGAAATTTGCAATGTGCATTTACTATGAAAATTCTGGAACTACAACACAGTATCATAATTAGTGAATAGCCAAGAGAGCTGCACTGTAATTCTCAGGGGGACTGCCACTGTGGAAACTGGGCCCAGCATTCACTGGGCCAGCGATCAGGCCAACTGAATGAGTAAAATAATAGTAATAATATTTGCTGTACATTCTCTTCTAAATTATACTCAAAACAATGATTAATGGACAACAGCAGAGTGAGCTGTGTGTGTGTTCATCAAATGCCTGGTTGCATCTGCCTTTCTATTGCACAAAAGAACGAAACTCAATCTTGGGTGAAGTCATTACGGCACAAATGTCAGTGTAATGAGATTTGCCATCCAATTATAATAATCATATTAGATTATGAATAGCATGTCCCTCCCCCTGCTCCTCGCATGGCGTTCACAGCACCACTTGATTTGTATGTAACACAGCCAGTGCTAATGAACATACACATCAGGCTCCTACTGCCCACTCACCTCACTATCGTCCGTCCACATGTGCTCCATCTGAAACCTTTCTGCTTCTGATGCCAGCCTCTGAGAGAACAGAGAGGGAGGAGGAGGCAGAGAGAAATACAGCATGTTAGTTCATGATTAATATTACCCCCCAAAATTTTAGTTTTAAGATTTTTTTGGCTCTAAGGTTACATTAATGTCAATGTCATGATAATAGCTTTGGTCCCAACTTTCATATTGTATAAGAAGCTAATTACATTATCTGATTTAGAAATTTGAGAAGCCATAGGCAATTCAGCTTGAGGATTTTCTATCTCCACTGATCTTAAAAATAAATGCAGTAGAAGATATGGATAATTATGGATAATTAGATGATTAGATAATAATAATCAGAGATACTTGTGAAGTCATGACATCTACCTCTATGGCATCTGATGCAGGAACGGTCATCACCTAAGGTATGAATTAGGACTAGCTGTGACACAGTGTGGCACTAAAATTAGACACACATCTATTCCATCTTTTCCCAGATCTGGTCCTAATGACTAGGTTAATGGGTTTATAATTAATCTGTACCTGGTCCAGAAAGGCACTGTATTATTAATTCCCCATGGGAAATATCAAATCTGGCTCTTCCTACTCATGTGTATATCACAAAGGAGTAAATTAATTTATGAAATGAGAGGAGGAGGTGTGAATGGATTATTTGTACTAGACAATGCCTTTGTGTCTGATTTGCAGTGTTTAGGTACAAAATCTGTCCTTAAACATGACACAAACTGTGCACTTTCAATTGTTTGCAATATTGGAACCACTCATCCAAGATCACATAACCTTTTATATCAGTTAGCTAAAATCACTGTAGCCTTGCATAAAGATCAAGCATATACGTACAATTGATATATAATGCAATCAGAGAGACAGCAGGCTGATGCTATTATTATAAAAATTAAAAATACAGTGCTATGACTCTTTAGTTTTAAAGAACCTGCACAGTCTATAATAGGCATCAAATAGTGGCAATTGTACTGAAAAGCTCAAGTAAAAAAAAAAAATTAAAAAGTTAAACAACCAAAAATGTGGACTCCAAACATCATGATCCATTAAACAGACATCTCCACAGCAACCCCCTGCAGATCTGAGATCAGATCACTCGCTCTGCCTGAACACTGCAGCATCCCTTAATGCATGCTGGAGACTGACAGTCTTGTGGTCTGAAACACGGTTACCTCGACAGCCTCCCACAGTTGGGTCTCATTAGGGTGAAAATTTTGCAGCAGCTGTTAGAGATGGTGGGACCTCGCGGTCAGCAAAAGAGCAAAAGTGAAGCGGTGCTAAGTGTGTGTCTGTGTGGTTCTAGTAAGGGAGAAAAGCTTTACTGCATTTTGAACACTAAACATCTTTGTATGTAGTAGTGTGTGCCTGAAGAAATGTGCATGTCACTTCAGAGAAAATAATTGGGGTATATTTCTGGTGTACATCCTCTCAGCTGGCTACCTGCCCTCCTATTGATATATTAGAAGTGTATGTTTGTCAGTCTCTGCTATCTAGTTTTTCAGAGATGTGTCTTGATAGTTGGGTCAGCGTGATCTTTTTACTGCATATATACAAACACAAAATATCTTTGCAGATTTAGCTTCCAGTTGCCACCAAGATGCATTGACATAATTGGAATATACAGTATTGTCAGTTTCCAGCCATTATTAGTGCAAAGAAACATTGGGGTGTGCATTTCAATCAGTCTAATAAACTACTTATCTGATCCTGTGGTACAAACCCATCAATGCTGATTTGGAAGCACTCCTATTCAAACTCGAAGCATCATCAAAATAATCAAAAATGATCAGAGGCCAAGAGGTTTATGTGTGCCTCTGGAGTTGACTGGAAAATATTCAGCAATGAACTGCCAATGTATTTACAGGTAAGGGGCAGCATCAGTTATTGCAGGCATGTTTTTAACAGACTGAGCACACCAAGCTCATTTCAGCTGTCAAACATTCATTTTATTTGGAAACAAAAACACTTAATTATTAATTAAAGCTGCGTTAATGAAAATTTTGCACCTATTTGGATAAATCAGGTAAAAAATTGTCTAGAAGTGTTTTCTTCCTGCTGTACTAAACCCCAAACCCACCCCACTTTGCTATCTTCAGACCTTTTGTTCATTTCATGCCCTCTGCGGCCACTGTTGTTACAATCCACACCCCACTGATCCAAGGTTATAAGATGCATTTGTCAAACCAATATGGCTCATTTTAAAGACGGGCTGTGGAGGCTCCCTATGCAGGTCTGGGAGCAGACCTATTAGCATGTTGGCTATGTAGATCATTAAAGGATCCAAAGGAATAAAATTTGATGCAAATGTGGCTTTTTTTCCTGCTACATGTGTAAGTACTGTAGGTTGCTGACGTGTATATGTTGGCATCGTTACCAAAATAACATTAGTATTTCAGTTTTGTACCTTTGTATTGAATTATTTCGTTTTAGTGCTGTCGCCTCACAGCTAGAAGGTTCCACGTTTGAGCCTTTCTGTGTGGAATATGCATGTTCTCCCTGTGCCTGCGTGGGTTCTCTCCAGGTACTCCGGCTTCCTCCCACAGTCCAAAGACATGCAGCTTAGGTTGATTGGTGTCTTTAAATTGCCCCCAAGAATGAGTGTGTATCTAGCCACAAGGGTTTCATGCCAGTGATTTCTGTGCCGGTCCCAAGCCCGGATAAATAGAGGGAATTGTGTCAGGAAGGGCATCCGGGGTAAAAACGTACCAAAAGTACTCATGCAAATTGGATTCACTGTAGTGACTCTTAACAGAAACAGCCGAAAGTAGAGCAGTTGTAGTACTGAATTATTCTGGTTGTAATTTGGAGTCATTCCAACTGACTGCAACATTCTTGTTTTGTTGTCCGATTAGCAGAAACCAGTGCATTTTCCTAGATTAGTAAATGAAGTAATTCTGCTCAGTTTGATAATTTTAGCATTTTATTGAGACATTGTTAACATTTACACCATCAACACTAGAAAAGTGGGGAGTTTGTTCAACTATCAAAGTGTAACACGAAATTTCTCTTGTTTCACATACAGTTCATGGTTACCTTATTATGTTATGTGTGTCAAGTATGTAACACTCAACGCGATGCGATAGTGGCCTGAACATTAGTGCTGTATCATTATTACTGGTAAAAAAACATTCCTCTGTCTAGTTTGCTTGTGTTACTGCATATACATTCATTACAAACAACGTTAGGTATACATATGCATATCGCTAAAATGTAAACCTCTTTATTTGATATTGTGTCACTGCAATGCCACTGAAAACCACAGGCTCTATATTCTATATACATTAATTCTAGAGCCAGATATTACTGCTGCACTACCTGACTGCCACAACAGACTCCAGCTGTTGTGACCACATATGAGACAGGGGAGGAGGGGCAAAGAGGAGCAGAGGGAGAACAAGGGGGGTTACTGCTCAAGTTTGTTTTGACTCTCACTTCACCCTTAACGTTCGAAAAATTTGAGGAAGAAGTTAGTTAATACAGCTTTAATATGACCAACAAATCCTCCAGCTTAAACAATCATATATGTTTCTACTTGTTCCTCTTCTTAGATAAGATACAACAGTAAACATGCTTAAGATTATGGAACAGTCATCATTTGGTTAGCTTTGGGTACCAA